TCTGTTATTATGGACGATATACATCATGTTTGGACATGTCGACACAAAGCAGGGGATCAACTTTACTACCTCTGATTTCATTGGGGAGAACAAAATAATAGGAACACCTACCAACATACTGCAGTACAGAAATGATCATGAAGCAAGGTTTTATGAAAGAAGTGCAGTGCCATATTAGACGACACTGGTTTCAGCTCACCTACTAAACTGCTGTGTGAGTGTATAAACAACATATTTGGACATCAACATTAAAAAAAAATTTTTATCTTATTTTTTATGAAACACTTAGTAACTGTGATAAGAAAGGTGCTACACAAATAAAGTGTATTATTGTAATTATTCCTTGCTACTGAATCAATAACCTTTTATCGATGAGTGCCCTGATATACAAAGAAATGCAAAGACCAGACCACCTGTGCATACAAGCAGATAATTATGATGAATACAATCGATGCAACTAATATATATATATATATACAGTGTATAACAAACTGATTTGAAAAATAATTCATATCAGGGTATAAACTGTGAACTCAAAGTTTGGCTCTAGTCTTGTTGATCTGCTTGGAGGCAGCAGAGAAGCATTTAGATGATATGACATATGAGTAGTATTGTTCCAAATATTGCAGTATATATTTGATTAGGTCAGTTTTGGTTATTGTATGTATTGTACACTTTGGATAATACACCAGACAAATAAAAACTATGACAGAGAGAAATCTTTTAAATTCCCTTTTTCTTTTTTATTCATGCAGTTGTAACAAGATGATACCCTAACACTGACAAGGAAAGCTACTGTAATGTCAATATGGGAATAGTTGAAAATAAAAACATGCAGAATGGGGTTAGGTGAAGTGGAGACTCTAAATGTGCCTGTAGGTGTGAATGTGAGTGTTTGTTTCTCTATATGTTGGCTCTGTGATGGACCGGTGAGCTGTCCAGGGTTGTACCCCACCTCTCCCCCAATGTCAGCTGGGACTGGCCCCAACTCAGCATCCGACTATTTGATGGTAGCTGTGCCTTTAGACTGAGGTCTATCACTGTGTTCATCTCTTTGAATCGCATGATCACTCCAGGAAATGCCCACATCCGTATACACAATTTACTCTTTGAGCATGAAATTTGATATGTGGTTTTACATGCACATACACACTGCTAGGCGAATGTAAGGTGGAGTGAGGGCTGATTGCAGAGGTGGGTCGAGAAGAAAGTCGTCAGGAGAGTGAGTCAGTGAGTGAGGAATGAGGAATGAGGGAAAGAGGGCCTGGATGTTTTTGGAGTAGAAAGTCTGTAATCATGTTAAATCAGACGCATAGCTGTGCTTGTGCCAACCAGACAGCCAGACGTGTCTCTGCACGTTCCTTACATTTCCATACCAAACAGATGCTACAGCTGGAGTGTCAACCTTCTCCCACCACGATAAAATGAAGCGGAGGATAAATACTCATTTGCAAGTGGCAATCAATACTGAGATCAATAAGCCGATGTATGCTGCGCTTTCTTTTTCCTTCTGCCTCTCAGCAAGGTGTGTGCCCTGGCATAATGAGGAAAAAAAGGCAGCTTAGGGGGCAGACTAAGTGCTGCACAGTGTGTTCTCTCTTTTGTTATTTTGTCTCACACACACACACAGAAACCCGTCACTCACACCTCAACATCACAGCCAGGGTCCTCCAGCTGGTCGCTTGCAGGTCACACAGTTGTCACCATGGTGATAATGCTTGGCAGATGGGGTCCCATGTGTGTGTTTTATTGCTTGTGTGTGATGTTGGTTTAACATTCGTTTAATAATGCATAGAGGCGGCCCTGTGTGTGGGGGTGTGTGTGTGTGTGTGTGTGTGTGCAGCCCACATAGCCTGCAGATCTCTTTGTGCAGACAGAGACAGTATACACAGAGATGGGTGATAACCACGTCGAGAGATTGTCTGAAATAAATCAACACATTACCGATTGTGATCTTCATGTCTGTCACACGATATGGGGGGG